CACAGGGGGAGCTCTGTTCAGCCACAAGCCAGGCTGATGGCTTCCAGTACAGTGGTGGTGGTGGGAGCCTCTCCCGCCTCCTCAGCAGTGCTAAGGATGTCTGACTGCAGCTTAGACCTGCCCTCCGCTGGCAATTGGACATCCCCTGAGGGCTCCCGGGCTGCCAGAGGGATGTCTGACTGCCAGCTTAGGCCCGGTCCCCCAGTTAGTGGGCCTAAGCCAGCAAGTGGTCATCCCCCGAGGGGTCCCAGACTGCGAGAGGGGCACAGACCAGGCTGAGGGACGCCCCCGAGTGCACAAATTTTTATGCACCAGGCCATATATATATATATATATAGCTAATATGCAAAGTGCCCTCTGGAGAGTTCGACTGGGAGACTGGGAGTTTGATCGCTCGCTATGAGGTGTGCTCACCACTAGGGGGTGGTATGGAATGAAGGAATGCCCCCTCTAGCTGCCAGCAGCCAGGGAAGGGAGGCCCCAGCCAGGAGCTGGAAGGCCCCAAATGGCCCTTATTGCCAGCCAGGCCTACAGACCCCACCCATGCACAAATTTCATGCACTGGGCCTCTAGCTTTTATTATATTTCTCCAATAAGTAATTAAAAGAGAATCCCCTATGCTTTATATTATAACAGATGACATTGTTTCTATTGCTTTAGCATGGGGCATTTTTAAAAATGGATTTGTCCCTTAAAAATATGAATGTTTAAGATGAGATAATTTTGTGTGGTGAACTCTCCAAAAGACACATAACCTTTGCTTTCAGTATTTACCAATAATAATTATTTCTACATGTTAAGAGGAGTTATGAACACTGAGAGACTTTATCCATGATATAAAGATTTATCCTATGTCAATTAATAAAGTAGATAAAAATTTAGAGGTTTTACATGAATTTGAAAATAGATTCAAAAATATAATGTATACTATTTATGTATTATATACTATATGTTATACACATAATGTAATATCTAAGATAATATCTACCACCTAGTGAGTACTTACTGCACTATGTCTTTTTATGTCATCTCATTTAATACAGTATCTTTGTCAGTCAGATATTATTATTAACACTTTTTTGTTGATGTTGTAGATGAAATTAAGTTTAAAATCTAATTGCTTTTCAAGGTCATAAAACTAATAAATGGACAAGACAGAAGTTGACCTCAGATCTGTTTAACCATAAGCTCATGTTCTCAAAGATTACACTAAAGATCACATGTTAGCAGCCCAAGGGCAAGATCCAGTCTGCAGATATATTTTATTTGCTCTGCACTTTATTGAAAAATTAGATTCTGGAGACATTGGTTCTTTTTCCCATGGACACAATTGGCTAAATTTTGCAATACTCACTGGCTTGCCATTTTCTTTATTAAAGAATCTGCCATATTGTTTGTTCTAGAATGGAGTTAAGAATAATATTGCTTCAACACCTGTTTCTATAAAAAATTGGGACATGAATGCTCAACCTAAAGGGCCACATGGTTTACCAGACTCGTGTAAACCATATTACCTGCCTGGACCCTGTAAAAACTGAGTTCATTATGTCTACATTCAACTCAAGTAAAATAGTTGAAGTGGATAATTATACAGTTCCTTTCAGTTTAAAAATTGCATATGTATTCTAAGTGAAGCTAATTTTATGATTTTGCTTACATTTTTGAGAAAGTATTTAAAAAATATTTGGGTGATTATAATGGAAACCTTCATATATCTGCCATTTTTTAAATTCAGCAAAACTAATTATGAATATTTTATATTCAATTTTAAAAAGTGAATAATGATTACAGAAAAATATTTAACTGTAGGAAAATAAACTAGTGCCATAACTCCCACTTTTTATGGAAATAAGGGCCATTATTAGTTCTAAAATTATATTTTGATTAAACATGACATTTTATAATCTCTATCCCAAATATCTCATATTTTCTATATTCTCTTTTTTTAAAATATATTTTATTGATTTTTTACAGAGAGGAAGAGAGAGTTAGAAACATCGATGAGAGAGAAACATCAATCAGCTGCCTCCTGCACACCCCCCACTGGGGATGTGCCTGCAACCAAGGCACATGCCCTTGACCGGAATCGAACCTGGGACCCTTCAGTCCACA